CAAAGAGTTCAAGGTCAGAGATCAAGTCCTTGTGTCTTTGGTATGGACCAACATTGGGCAAGGAAATATGGAAAATGAGGATATTCAGTTACACACTCGATGGTGGGTTCCACATTTTCTTTATGATCCCTTTTCTGGAACGTCAATACACGTGTGCCCCCTCCCCGCCCCTGCTACCTTTTCAGCAGAGGACATGTTCCAGGACCCCCAGCAGATATCCGAAACCGCAGATAGTACCGAACCCTAATCAACTTTTTCAACTCTGCTAAAAACGCGCCAGCAGCGGCCTTTTATCAGCAGATGCAGCCTCTGCAGGAATTTTTATATTTTTCCATTGAAACCAGTTCCTGAGTCTGTGCAACCCCGCCTTCCTTGCAGTAGATGGTCTAGTGTCCCTCCCTTCGGGGACCCCTGGCCTCAGCCTTTATGAGCACTCAGCTTTCTGGCACAGTGCACAGCTGTCAGTAGGAACCCGTGATTGTTCACGTCCACTTGCCACAAATGTCGTGCCTTCTCCATCCCCGCTGAGCACTCAGCACTGTGGCCGCAACTTCTGCAGTTTGAAGCGCGGCAGCAACACCAGCGCCATTTTATTTTTCCTGCTCCACAATTTCATGAATAGCATATTCCTCCTGACCGTAGGTCTTAGATGAGGCAGGATAGGATTTTTCTTCCCTTATTGGGTGAAGATGTTTTGCCTTTTCATTGAAAGGAAGCCTTCTATGGCTTTTCTTTGGCGTTTCCGAATGGCGTTTTGGGACCATTATTAAGTAAAATCAGGTTGACTTGTACACAGGCATTGTGATGCTGTGACGGCCCATCTACTAAGTGACTAACAGGTGGGGAGAGTACACAGCGTGGCTATGGATGACTCATGTCCCAGCCGGGATGAAGCAGGACGCCATGAGATTTCATCGTATGACTCAGAATAGCATGCAGGTTAAGACTTATGAATTGTTTGTTTCTGGAATTTTCCATTTAACATTTTCGGAATGTTGTCGACCGCGGATAACGGGGGGCATAGCAAGGGAAACCGCGGATAAGGGGGGTCCGCTGTAATCTGAAAAATGTTGCCCTGTTCCCATGTGTGACATGTTTTTGTAGACAACACACACTAAATCTAAGGAAACAGTGTATATTTTCAGACCCCTTAGTGAATCTACCCTGACCAGTCCTGAAGGCCAAGTCATCAATTTTCAAGGACTTCTATTTTGTCTAAGGCTATTGTCAGTCACAACAGACAGCTCACAAGAACCGACTCCCCCAAAGAGCTGAGCCCTCAGCTTGTCCTTGAAGCTTTGAAGCCGGGTACTCACAGTACCCTGAGGATCAGCCGAGCTCGTTGGTGCCACTCAAGACAGGATTTAAACAGCTGGACCCAAAAGGACTGCGTGTTCAAAAGGATGAAGCCATCCCGTGTCTGCACCCAGGAGGACGCTGCATGTGACTGCTCACTGCATACATTGCCCAGCATTTTTGTGTCATTTTGTCAAGTGGATGCAACCAGCCCACGTGGAACAAAGCAGGCAGCCTTAGAAGCGGCGCTTGGATATCGTGCCCCTTCTAAGGTTTGGATATTGAACCGAGGCTCAAGCAGGCTCACCGACCACCTGGGAGGTTGTCCTGGACGGGGCGCTTCCTTCGCTTTCTGTGACAAGGGCGCTTCCTCTCCACAGAGGCGAGATGGTGTCATAGCCACATGCTGAGGCTGCATTGTTTTTGAGGGGATCTAGGAACTGAGGAGGCTGCTGCCCCGAAGGGCATTTTCAGGAATGTGTTATTTGCATTCCTTTATTTGTATTGTTGACACTATTGCTCAAGTCCCCATTTCCCTGCTTTGTCCACCCAACTCTTGACCTCCCCTTCCCTCTGGCTATTACCACAGTCATCTCTGTGGCTAATCCGTCACCTTCTTTCATGCAGTCCCCTGACGTGACAGCTGTCAGGCTGTTCCATGTGTCTATCCCTCCATTTCTATTTTGTTGGTCAGTTTATTTTGTTCGTTAGATTCCATGTGAGTGAGATCATATGGTATTTGTCTTTCTCTGACTGGCTTACTTCATTTAGCGTAATAACGTCCAGGTCCATCCATGCTGTTGCGAAAGATGAAATCTCCCTCTTGGGGAATATTTTTGAGACCCCAGTTCCTACCGCCTAGGTCCTGTCCTTCTTAAACAGAGGAGAAATCACGGCAAAGCCGACCACACCTCTATCCAAAAAGGGTCCACAGTCACAGCAGACGAGGCAGATATTGAAATTCCTTCCCCCAAAGTGTAATTATGTGTAAATGCCTGTAGATATATATTTGAATTCTTTTTAAAAAAGATTTTATTAACTTATTTTTAGAGAGGGAAAGAGAGGGAGAGAAACGTCAATGTGTGGTTGCATTTCACACACCCCCTTGCTGGGGACCTGGCCTGCAACCCAGGCATATGCCCTGCCTGGGAATAGAACCAGTGACCCTTTAGTTTGAAAGCTGGTGCTCAGTTCTCTGAGCCACACCATCTAGGGCTATATTTGAACTCTTTTATTTTAAATGTTTACAAGAAGCAGAAGGTGGTTGGAAATATATAGGCATCGCATCCTATTTCATGGCTGCAGATGATGATTTGCATGTTTGTGAAATGGATTTGGAGCTGACTGGGGTGGTGTTTGTATGAACCTGTGTTTCCCGCCACCGGAAGCAATGCCCCTGGGGACCATCAAATGACCGCCCCGTGCTGGGGACACCACAAACGGTGAATAACATAGTCAAGTCTTTACCTCCAAACTGTCAGAGCCGTTCAGATCTAATGTAATTTAAGAACATTTCCACAACAGATAATGCAATAGCTTAGAAACGTGTACTTGAAACACTATGCTATGCTTTTCCTTTTCTTTTTTTCTGAATCATAGTGATGTCTTCATTGTTTTCAATTTGTATTTTTATGGAGATATAATCGACCTATAATATTGTGTAAGTTTAAGGTATATAATATATTGTAATTTAATTACCTTAGTGAACACCACCATAACATTATACGGTTACCATTTCTTTTTTGTGGTGAGAATATTGCTGTTCCCTTAGCAACGCTGAAGTCTATATCACAGTATGGTGAACTGTAATCCCTATGATGTGCGTCAAACCTCCAGAACTTTTTTTTAAAGATTTTATTTATTTTATTTTTAGAGAGAGGGGAAGGGAGGGGGGAAGAGGGAGAGAAACATCAATGTGTGGTTGCCCCTCGCACGCCCCTACTGGGGACCTGGTCTGCAACCCAGGCATGTGCCCTGCCTGGGAATTGAACTGGCGACCCTTTGGTTCGCAAGCCAGCTCTCCATCCACTGAGCCACACCAGCCAGGGCCAGAGCTTTTTCATCTTCAACATCTCCCCAATTCTTCCTCCCCAGCTCTTGCTAACCACCTTTTGACTCTCTGTGTGTACAAGTTTGGCTTTTTCAGAATTCACATATAAGCCACACGCTGCTCCGGCTGGTGTAAATGTTCTCACCTCTATTCCAAGCGACAGACCCACTGAGGGCCTTCCAAAGACGGGCTACTGCACCATCGCCCACAACTGAATAACCAAACTGATAGGAGTCACCAGCACCCTTAGAGGTGCACGAGGACGCGGGATTTAGTTTGACCCATAGCGACTCAGCTGGGCAAGTACCGGATGTGACCGGTTCTCTCTCTTACGAGCGTCAAGCCCCTGTGTCTGGCGCCAGGGCCACGGGGCTGAGTGGCCCCTCATTCTCTACTGGACGTTAGAGAAAAGGGAATTTAATCATTTAAAAAGCTAAAGCCCAGAGTAACCGTGAGGTCCACGCTAACAGGGCAGAATTTCAGCTTGTCTGAGCTTCGTTTTCATGGGGATGTGAAAATTAGATCTAAGGAACGCTCTCTGCGCCCCTTCGGACGGGAAGAGCGTTGGGCCGTAAAGAGGCGATCTGCTCGGTGCGATCCAGGACCGGGACCCATTTCCAAGAACTGGGCGGGGCTGGCGCACATCCGTTCTGCCCGCAGCCTCCTCCCGGAGGCTCCGTCTCAGCTCTCAGCCAATTCATGGAGAGAACGTAGGGCACGCAGAGCCGGGGCCCCGCGGCCCGGCCTTCGGGAAGGTTCCAGGACTCACCTGCCCTTCTCCCAACTGCCCAAGGCGCCACTCCTGGGGACTCACAGCTGGCTTTGCGCTGGGGGCGTTCCCCTCGACGTCAAGCCCCGCGTCGTCAAGGGGTCAACCCTTGCTGCTGGCGGCCCCGGGGACCTGCGGTAGGTTCCGTGATGTCTCCGCGGGTCGCCGTCTTCCCGGTTTGACTTCCCTTCTGCCTGAGTCACCTCCTCAGTTTGCCCAGATCTGCTCAGGGCAGCTTCCGCTCTCTTTCCTCACTTGATGGGACTGGACAAACCTAGACTGTTCTCCTTTCTGGAAGGTTCCGTCCACTCTCGTTAGGGCTTTATTGCAGGGCCAACACAGCAGGTCACACGGCGCGTTGTGCCTTCCAAGCTCGGATTGTAGGTGACCAGCCTTCACCTACAGTTCGTGACGCTTGGATCACAAGCTGTGGCTGGAACGGAAGGTGCCGGCAATGCTCGAGTCCCAGCATAATGCTCACAGCACATGGCCCTAGTTGGGGGGGGGGGGCAGGCAGAGAAAGGAGGGCGCACCCATCTTATCCTTGAACTCACCCACGGTTTGTAAGGGCACTCACCACTCCCCTTCACCCACAGCAGGTGACTCACTCACAATTCAGAGACTGTTTCTGAATCTGGGGGTTGGGGGCTGTGGATTCGGGGCATCATGTCCGGGTGATGGATGGCCAGGCCAGAGCCCGGGGCTCTCTGGCTGCTCAACAATTAAGGCTCGTCCCTGCGCAAACAATACCCGTGATGGAAAAGAGCGCCCTCTGCCTCCCTCCAACACAACGCACCGTAGGACTCCCTGGCTTCTCTATCTTGGGAAGAATTTATAAGAAATAATTAATGCCAGTTGGAACTCTTCTGTGTCTTTGGTCAAAAGCTTTTCACAGATGCCAACCAGCTCGGTGGAAGATGAGACCAATGACAACATCACCATCTTCACTAGGATCCTGGACGGGCTCTTGGATGGTTACGACAACCGGCTGCGCCCTGGGCTCGGAGGTAAGTGGCTTCCTGCGGCCGGGCCTGGGGAGAGGGCGTGGCCTCGCACTCGCGGCGGCTGCAAGTCACAGGAGGTCCTGCTGATGCTTGTTGCCAAGGCGCCTGCATCCTTCGGTGTCACTTGCAAGATGCAGGAAGCTGGGGGTTGCGGTCCCTGCAAGTTCCCTTTCCCCCAGATAATTCGGATGTCCTTTTTGGTTCACTTAAGGAGGAACCGGCTCTTCGGTGTTACTGAAGCTGAGCTCACCCCAGGCTAAGAAATAGTTTTTAATTGATATGAGACACAGAGAAAGAGACATCAACTTGTTGTTCCACTTATTGATGGCTTCATTGGTTGATTCTTGTATGTACCCTGACCGGGAATCGAACCCGCAACCTTGGCCTATCAGGATGATGCTCCAACCCACTGAGCTACCTGGCCAGGGCTATATAATGGCCCCAGTGAAAAAATTAAACTTAACATACAAAGGTGTAAAAACAATGGCATTGAACAGTGGGTTTCACTGTTTAAGATCATGTTTAATTTATTCACTAAGGCCATAATCATAGTACTTACGGGGGACCCTATGGAGGTTGACAATGGTGAACAAATAGCATTATGTGTTTTGGGGGCCTAATTGGCACAGCTTAATTTTGTGCTGAGAGTCGCGAGCATTTCTAGGCATGTGAGATACCCCGCGCTCCGCTGACTGAGATGTGGTGCATTTGAACTTGCTCTATGAGATAAGTTAGAGAGTCTGCCCCCCAGCAACTACATTCTCCAAGGAAAAGCTTAGTCCTCTATTATTTGCATTTAGAAAAATTCTTTTTTTAACTTTTAAAACGATTTTATTATTTATTTTCAGAGCAAGAGGAAGGGAGGGAGAAAAAGAGAGAGAGAAACATTAGTGTGTGGTTGCCACTTTGCACGCCCCCTGCTGGGGACCTGGCCTGCAACCCAGGCCTGGGCCCTGACTGGGAATCGAACCTGAGACCCCTTGCTTTGCAGTCCGGCGCTCAATCCACTGAGCCACCGCAGCCAGGGCATTATTTGCATTTTTAACAGGGAAATTCGCTTACAGTATGAAGAACTGCCATTCTCTGTATTTTGGGCAAAGACAAGTCCCCGAAGGCTGCTAGGCGCCCTCTTACTCCTCCCTCTGAGTTACCGCATGTCCCTGTGTCCCTATGTCCAGCAGCCCCTGTCCCCGCACACACACCAGGAGGACCAAAGCACGCGTTCCCGTTCTGTGGGGCGGGACCCCGAGGAGCCAGAGCCGCAGGGTGGCTGCTGGGGCTGGCGCCTCAGCGGAGAGGCGGGCCCTGAGAACACCAGCGTCGTGCAGATACCGCTGCGCAAACAAATACGCGCCGTGTGCACAGGAGATTCCCAGAAGCCGCGGGCCCGGAGAGGCAAGCCCCGGAGCTCGGACGGGGTGCCGATCCCGCCCAGCAGCTGGGGGCAGGCACGGTGGGCCGCAATGCTCCCCCCCGGCAGGGGTCCTCATTCGTGCGTGGCCGCCGGGAGCCACAGGCTCCTGCCCTTCCCAGGGAACACGCATGTCTGCCTCCACCATTCTTAGCTGCTTTGATGGCCTCGTGTATTTTCCGTCATTTTAATTTTAATAGCAGTTTCCCATGATAGAAGTTTCTAACCATTCACAATGCCCCATAAGGTGGAGCGGGTCTTCCCGTGTTCCTTCCAGCGCCGTTGCCGGCTCAGGCTGCGCGCTGCGGGCTGTTCTCGGACTCCTTCTCCCGACACCGCCCCGGGGCGCGGCTGGACTGGCGATTCCTCCCAGGCAGCTCCCCGCAGAGTTGAATTGTCTAACTTTTTTTGAACAGCTGTGTACAGGAGAGCAGGGCAGCGCGCTGTGAGGTGGGGAGCATTTTCCCGGCTTAGTGAGGAAGAAGGCGAAGCGCCCGAGGTCCCCCAGCCGGGACCCGGCCGCGCCCCGTCCCCGGAGACCCCCGCGTCCCTTTCCAGAAATGACAGGGACTCTGTCTCACGTCATAGTTGGAGCAGCGTGGTTGCATTTGGTGTCTGCCAAGACCTCCAAGTTAATGTAGGAAATACATTATAAAAGCCCTCCGGTGGCCAAGTGTGAAACAGTCTCTAGATGCAGGACGTGTGTGCGGGTGGCGGGTGACGGGGCCTTGGGGCGGGCTGGGTGCCCAGGCCGGAACCTTGTCTCTTTCAGAGCGCGTCACGCAGGTGAGGACGGACATCTACGTCACCAGCTTCGGCCCCGTGTCCGACACGGAGATGGTAGGTCCCCTGGGTCGGGCGCCACCAGACGCCCCGAATCATCACGATGAGCTGGGGAAAGGGCCCCCCACTGCGACGTCACCCGGTTGCCTCCCTTTGCGCTAGGAATACACCATAGACGTGTTCTTCCGACAAAGCTGGAAAGACGAGCGGCTGCGGTTCAAGGGGCCGATGCAGCGCCTCCCGCTCAACAACCTGCTGGCCAGCAAGATCTGGACGCCGGACACGTTCTTCCATAACGGGAAGAAGTCCATTGCGCACAACATGACCACGCCCAACAAGCTGCTGCGCCTGGAGGACGACGGCACGCTGCTCTACACCATGCGGTGCGGCGGGGCGGCGGGGCCGGGGCGGGGCGCGGCGCACGCGGAGGGGGCGGTGACATCCTAAAGGCGGGCTGCGGGGCGCAAGGGGGCGGAGCCGGTCGCAATGGGGGCGGTCGGGGCAGTGCAGGGGGGGGGGTGGCACAGTGCAGGGACGCACAGCTCCCCCGGTGCCCCCCAAGGACCCGACAGCCTAATGGGCTTGAGGATTGATGTGTGTGTGTGTGTGTGTGTGTGTGTGTGTTGCGTATTTTTTACCGTTTCGGTTTGGAGCTTCACTGTGTGCGTTAGGTGTTTCTTTTACCGTGTGACCGGCCCATACTAATAAGCAGGACTATTATTTCGCTGGCTGTCCTAGTCCATAGCCTCCATCTGGACTTGTTCCTTTGGTTCAACGTCGAGACCATCTTGCGAATACTGATCCAGAGCCTGCGGGCTAGGGAACATTTATTTTATAAAAAATGTCATTAAAAAATTCAAGGAGAACCCTTTGGGTCGTAGTGGCGTAAGCCTTCCGAAATTTTAAAAGCCACTTTCTCATATGCTTTGATAACATTCCAATGCTGAGGTTAAATTTCAATATTTCTAATTTAAATTGATCAGTAGTCACTTTTGTTTTCAATTTTGCATTATTCACTGCATTTGAGTAAATCAATAAATGGACCCGCGTGAAAGGCTCCATTAGAGCTTTTCAGTTACCATGGTGGGCCTAAGCCAACGTCAAAAAAGATTTTTAAATTAAAAAGAAAAGCGCTAAAGCCAAGTTTTTTTTTTTTTTTAAAGCCCACGCATTTGCGCTGATGTGATCGGAATGTCTCTCTCTGCCTTCTAATTCTTCCCGATACATTTTATACATAGAAAAGGTTCCACGGCATTGGTCGCTGCCGTCCCTGGAGGCTGTGTGTCCTCCCGTACGTTCTGACGGCGCTGTGACACGTGTCCAGAGCCTGTTCGACACCAGGACTCGGTTGTTCTCATGACGACCCCGTAAAGATTCCGATCAGGGAGCCTGTAACGCGAGCAGGTCCCATTTTCCACGCTTTCCTTTCCCCGCCATTGACCTTGACCGCGCTCCCCCCGTAGACGTAGACCTGAGCTGGGAGCATCACGTCGGTGCTGGGACAGTGGCTTCTCCGCGGAAAAGCCAAGAACCATGACGAGGGCTGACTTGCAGCCCTCAGTCCTCGTCCTGCGCAGCGAATCGGAGTGCACTGCGGTCAGCCCCGCGCGCGGGGTCGGGTGCGGAGACGTTGAGTCCAGGTCTTAAAGGAGGCTGAGGGGCCCACACAGGGGTGGGACGGATGATCGGACCCCATCATTTTGGTGGGCTTTGCGCCTGCGTTCTGCCCGCAGAATCAGATCACCCCAACCCCTCGTCTTCACATCGGTTCCTGCCCCCAGGGGGCTGTTGCTGGGTCCACAGCGTAAGACATTGGGGTGCTGTCATCTGACGCATTGCTGCTTGGACAGGGTGCTGAGGTAGGACCATTGTTTATTTTTTCAAGAGATTTTATTTATTTATTTTTAGAGAGGGGGAAGGGAGGGAGAAAGAGAGGGAGAGAAAGTCAGTGTGTGGTTGCCTCTCGGCCGCCCCCTGCTGGGGGCCTGCCCCTGACTAGGGATCGAACCGGCGACCTTTTGGTTCGCAGGCCTGCGCTCAATCCACTGAGCCACACCAGCTGGGACAGGACCGTTGTTTAGAAGGGAAAAGGCTGCAGAGGAGTGTTTTAAAACTCAGGGCCTACGTCCCAGGCAACATCGCAAACAATGGCTTCAGTGTTTTAAAACTCAGGGCCTTCAGCCTCAGACAATCGCACCAGCTAGGGGACCCCGCTCCCCTTCACCGACAAAGAGTGAAGCTCAGAGACCTTTGGTGACCCGCCCATGGTCACCCAGCTCGTGAGGGGGCCGCATGAATTTCACCTCGGCTCTGAGCAATGCCCTTGTCTAATCCACCACATTTGAAAACCACAGGGATACCACGTTGTTAGACATCGAGTGGCCTCCTTCTCCCTGTCAAAGTGTCATGCTAGGAGGAGGATGGTGACAACCAGGACAACCTGTCAGCAGTAATTGGTCCTGGTTGGTGCCAAGGAAATATGCTAATAGGTTGCCAAGTCGATACCGGGTTTTCTATTTCAGTCACGCACAACATGTGCAGAATGGAAATGGTGCCACTTGAAAGTGTTATGAATTTTAATGGGATAGAAGTATAGTATAGTTTGATAGCATTTCTATCTATTGATTTAGCAAGGATGGTGAAGTAACAACTGGATCATTGGTAACAGGACAAGTCATATGGCAAGCAGCACCTGGCACCCTGTGTTCCAGGGGTACAGCCCTTCTTTCTTTTGATATTTTTATTAATGTGAGAGAGAGAGAAAACATTAACTTGTTGTTCTACTCATTCATGCATTCAGTGGTTGTTTCTTGTATGGGCCCTGACCAGGGATTGAACCTGCAACCTTGGTGTATCAGGACGATGGTCAAACCAACTGAGCTACCCAGCCAGGGTTGCCAATTGATGGCTTTCTTCTGGGCTGAACTTTCGGTCATCATTGTGTAGCAGACGGTTTCAGTTCCACTCCTGACAATCCTGTGCAGCGCAGGGTGGCCACCTGGTCTCCGGGGACACCCGAACCTGATGGTTTCCTTTAGCAGCAGGTGCGCTGGGAGGCAGTCCCTCGCGCCCCCTGGAGGTGCTCCTTTGTGTTCATGCGCAGTGAGGGCCATCTGACGGCGCATGCCCTGGTCTTTGGGCAGAAGAGCAAGTCTCTCTTAGTCTCTTGTGCAGAAAACCACATCCTGCCAGAAAGAACTTTCTAGAAGGCGAGCTCGGCCACGACTACCCTGAGCACTGCACGCTCCGCATTGTCACGAGATGTATCCCCTGTGCGATTTTTATTTGGAGAAAGGCGTATTTTTATGATTGCTTACACTCCATTTAGAGTTCCATTCATCATTAGCGGAAAACACTGCTTTGAACTGACTTAAGTTCAAGTCCGCCGGACTCCATCATTTAGTCGCCAGGAGCCCTTGAACGTTTTGATTTAATCTCTTAGAGGCACCTTTTGTTGTTGTTTTGTCATCGTGGTTTTAAAATTTTTTTCCAACGCAGCACCGCCACAGGGTCTGAAAAGGCTTCTCATTTTGGGAGTTGATCGCGTAGGCGCATATTCTTTGAATGACCACTGGGGGGCAGCATAGAAACATTTTTGTACAGCGAGGAAATTATATACATTATTCATGTTTGATTTGGGGGTAATATATGTGAAATAAATTACACACATGAATCTACAAGTTTTTAACAAGTATGTGTAGAGTAGTAGACACACATATAACCATCTATATCTTTATCTGTATTTATATTTATCCCCCTACATACACACGCCAGTGTCTAGTGTACAATGACACCAACAGACATATTGGTGAAATATTGCCATCTTGAATGCTATATTTATTTTAATGACAAGGATAAAAATATTTAAATTTTTATTGTTTATTGTTGACATTTAAAAATTTATAAAACATGGGGAATCACCAAGCATGAAATACAGCTATGGTAACACCGCACTCAAGAGATTCGGTGCCCACGGTCTGATGTGTTTAAGTCCATGTGTACGGACTGCTCCCGTGGGTGTGTCTGAATGAGTCCTGTAGCTGTTAACTGGCCTCATTCTCTGATAACTCTTTTGTCACTAGCTTTATAATTTAAGACACAGTAAAACCTTTCCCCTGTCATTAAACATTGATCCGGAGTTTTGCGATCCATCACATTCCGTCATGTGACCATCCCGTTATATAGTCTCTTAAACGAAAACTCATTTCATTTCCTTTTTTTTCCCCCTCTGTTATAAACAACGTTGCCATTGAAGCACAAAATTATATCTTTGGATAAATTCCAGGAATCAGCCAATAAAGGCTTTCAAGGCATCTTTGCAAATTGTTTTCTAGAAGAACTGTAGCGATTTCACTCCCACTAATGGAAAGTACAGATGGTCCGTTGCTTCCTCCCCGGCGCTGCACGGAGGAGAGTAAAAATAAAGTATCAGCCCACTTTGCGATGTGAGATGTGATTAGCAAGCAATCTATTAGAAACAAAAAGCATGTGTAACAGTTTCTCCTCCTAGGATTTCTAGTAGCATCAGCATCAGCTTTCTGCTTTCCCTCTGGGAGAGGTCTCACCAAACAGCCTGGGCCCTGATTTGGCTGAAAATGGCCTTTGTTCTGAAATGAGGGGACATGAAGCGTCACAGCCCACAAGCCCCTGGGTCCTTACTCCTTGAAAGCCCAGACTTCTCTAAGATGTCTTCCCGAAGTCTCCTGCCCTCTGTCCCCTGCTCAGAGCATTTGCTACATTGCATTCGACTTCCCAGTTGCCCTTGAGCGTCTTTGGAGAGGGACCGCCACAGGCGCGATTCTGGGTAGTAATTCTCCAGGGTCGCTGTCCTTTTTCTGGCTCCTGGGCTGGCCCTCAGAAGGAATGAACTACACGTTCATGGAGAAATAAATGATAATGGAATGAATGAGACAGCCATTTCTTAATTGGGGCCACCTCTCTGCTCAGACCTTAGTTTGAGGGACCGAGAAAGGAGACCTAGCAAATTTTTCCTTCCCTACGTATTCAACACTTAAGTTCCTGCCAATCTTATAAAGAGTGAAGGCTATGCTTGGCTAACACATTGTATTTGCAGGACACAAATGCAAATGTTTTCATACAGATTTCTTGCATATTTGGTTTGGGAAAAAAAGACTAGAATTATCCTGGGTCAATTCAATCTAGTCAGCCCAGATTTTTGGACTATTTAACACATGTTTCACAAAAGACAACCTCGTCCTATGCAAGTCGGCCATCTCAAATGTGTTTTTATCACCTTTTTAAAAAGAAATATTTTTTAAATCCTCACCCAGGGACTTTTATTTTCATTGCTCTCAGGGGGAGAGGGAGAGAAATATTGATAAAAGAGAGATGCATTGATTGATTACCTCCTGTACGTCACTGA